TCAGAAGAGCCCTGCTGGATCAGACCAGGGATCCATCTAGTCTGGCATCCCGTCTCACACAGTGGCCAATCAGTTCTTCTAGAGGGCCAACAACAGGGCAAAGAGGCCGAGGCCTTCATAAGAACCTCAGAAGAGCCCTGCTGGATCAGACCAGGGATCCATCTAGTCTGGCATCCCGTCTCACACAGTGGCCAATCAGTTCTTCTAGAGGGCCAACAACAGGGCAAAGAGGCCGAGGCCTTCCCCTGATGTTGCCTCCTGGCTCCGGGACTCAGAGAATTAGCGCCTCTGAATGCGGAGGTTCCCCTCAGCCACCATTGATAGACTTTACCCTCCATGAATCGATTTTAATCCACTTTTAAAGTTGTTTATAAGAACATATCCGTTCAGGCTTGTAGGACACAGAAACTGGAAACACGGTGACATCTTGTGACACATTTTGTGTCTCTAAGAATGACACTGGGAGCGGGAGGAAGGAGAGAGGCAGACTCTTCCCTTCCAGCGGCCTTTTGCGCAGCCCTCTCCACAGTTCTCTGTCTGGAAAAAAAAATGAGATTTCCAGGGGGTGGCCTGGCCTCCCTCGCAGAGCCGTGACAAAGCATACGTGAGAAGGAATACCAAAGCATTTGATGCTTGGAGGGATTGTGCAATCGTAAACTGGCTCCCCCAGAATGGGACTACCTTTTTTCACCCACTGCGCTTATTCCGCTCGGCTTTGAGGCCACTTCCGCCGGCTTCCTTCCCGACAGGGGATGATGACCCAGCCTAGCGGAGTCCTCCTGCACGTTCTCAGCGGTTCCTGTCTGTTGGTGGTCGGCTCTGAAGCGAGCCTTTCAGCCTGGCGAGGAGGAGAAGGGAGCCCAGCTGGTCTCCATTAGCCCACCCCCTCCTCTCCCCTTTAGCTCCCCGGACTCTCCCTTCGGCAGCGCAGAAGGGCACCGGGGTCAGCACAGAGAGTCTCGCACAATGCGGCCTTCTTTCCCCCCGCTGCCTGCCCATCTGGGGATGCTCAGGGGACGAGAGGGGCGTTTGCTTCCCGTCCACCCAGCCCACCCAGAGCTTCAAGGAACGCCAGGAGCCGAGCTCTGCTCACGCGGGGGAGAGAGGGTTGGGAGGCCAAAGGCCAGCTTCCCACTGCCGATTCTGCACGGATGCAGCCCAGGTCCATCGCTGGGATCTTCTTGTTCGGGGGGCATTTAAATCGCTAAGGGGGCAGTTAAATCAAAGTTAATTGAATTAATCTGGATGCCTGTCTTTAAAGGCTGGTGGGAATGCTTTTGAAAGACTCGCCATGACCTAGGTGGTCTACAGCAGGACTGGGCTAGCGGACAGGGGGATGGTTGGAGCGGTCGGGTTAGAACGGATAAAAGGAACATGGAATTCACTGCCACAGGAAGTGGTGGGTGCTACAAGCATGGACGGCTTCAAAAGGGAATTAGATAAGCATATGGAGCAGAGGTCCATCAGTGGCTATTAACCACAAAGTATAGATAGGGACTCTGGGGCAAGTGATGCTCTGTCTCCTTGGTGCTTGGGAGAGGGCAACAGTGGGAGGGCTTCTAGTGTCCTGGCCCCACTGCTGGACCTCCTGAGGGCACCTGGTATTTCTGGCCACTGTGTGACACAGAGGGTTGGACTAGATGGGCCTTTGGCCTGATCCAACATTTGGCTTCTCTGATGTTCTTATAAGAGGGAATTGGATGAACATCTGGAGCAGAGGTCCATCAGTGGCTATTAGTCACAATGTATAGGTAGGAACTCTCAGTCTGGGGCAAAGGATGCACTGCATTCTGGGTGCCTGGGGGGGGAGGGCAACAGTGGGAGGGCTTCTGGTGTCCTCCTGGCCCCACCGCTGGACCTCCTGAGGGCCCCTGGTATTTCTGGCCACTGTGTGACACAGAGTGTTGGACTGGATGGGCCTTTGGCCTGATCCAACATTGGCGTCTCTCTTATGTTCTTATGTTCTTATGGATAGAAGGTGCCACTCTTGAGCGCCCGTCAGAAATGCAAAAATAAGGTTTCTGGCATGGCTGTTTGTGGAACTAACAAAACTGAGGGGTTACAGCCAGTGTTCCCTCTAAGCTGAGTGAGTGTGAGCTAGCTCACAGTTGTTTAGCCTCCGGCTCACACCTTTTTGTCTTAGCTCAGGACGGATGGCTCCAGAGCAAACTAATTGATGCAGTAGCCAAAGTGCTCGCTCACAACTTTAATGCCAGGAGCTCACAAAGCAGAATTTTTGCTCACAAGACTCCACAGCTTAGAGGGAACATTGGTTACAGCTAGTGTAGAGAACCAAAAATATAGAAGCTGTAATGATGTACAAAACGCTTATACTCTCATAATAATGATAGAAAAATAAACCGTCAAATTGAAAAATATTAATTCCCAACAGGTATCAGAAAGATGGACGAACTTTTCCGGAGTTTTGGCATTCGTTTCATGAAGAACTTCTTCCAGACATCAAGATGTGATGGTGTTGCTTCTTATTCCATGATGTGTAAATCCAATACAAAGGTACTAATATCCTATATGTTGAACATGAGGAATTTCAGACAGCTGATATAATCCGGAAGAGGCACGGTTCCCAAACGGTTTCTGGTCTGTCATTTCAGACAGAACCGTTGAAGCAGAAGAAGAGATTGGATTTATACCCCGCCCTTCACTTGGAGTCTCAGAGCAGCTTACAAACTCCTTTCCCTTCCCCTCCCCACAACAGACACCCTGTGAGGTGGGTGGGGCTGAGAGAACTCTGACACAAACTGCCCTTTTTCAAGGACAGCTGTGCCAGAGCTTGTGACTGACCCAAGGTCACATCAGCAGGTGCAAGTGGAGGAGTGGGGAATGAAACCCGGTTGTCCCAGATTAGAGTCCGCACACTTAACCACTACACCAAACTGGCTCTCTTAGAACCGGTTCCCTACCAGAATATATTTGTAATTTCACACAGAAACGCTTCTGTCCCATTTAGGAAACGAGGCTTAAGCGTTTTACCTGTCAACCGCTTCCAAGTAGTCTTCAGTTTCCTCTCCCGGCTCTGATACGCTTTTTCCCGCCGTTTTTCCCCGCGCGAGCGATCTCCGGCTTTTTTGGGGGGGGGGAATGTTCACTTTATAGTGCTATAACGATATGACGCAACAGCATTATATCAATCCCATTGGAATGCATGGAGTGTTGCGTTATAGCGCTATAGTGCTCTAAAGCAAACATAAAAAAAAGCCGGAGATCACCCACGCGGGCAAAAAACAGTGGGGGGAAGCGGGAAAAAGCGGTGTAGTCTGAAATGGCAAACCGCTTCAGATCCAGCTCTTTACCGGAAGGGGAAAGCCATGTATGAAATGGCAGCCCTATACCGTTTTTACTCCACGATGGATCAAAAACGGCTTCAAAAACGGGGTAAAAAGGGTCATGTGAAATTCCTCCATGTTCTTACATAACAAATCCTTCCATCAACGGGCATCAAAGACTGCTAGTACACTTCGTGTGCCCATTGATGGAAGGATTTTTTATGTAAGAACATGTTCAACATATAGAATATTAGTACCTTTGTATTGGATTTACACATCATGGAATAAGAAGCAACACCATCACATCTTGATGTTTGGAAGAAGTTCTTCACAAAACGAATGCCAAAACTCCGGAGAAGTAAGTCCATCTTTCTGATACCAGTTGGAAATTACTATTTTTCAGTTTGACTGTTTATTTTTGATGGCTATTGGTGGGGCAGGTCCCCCAAATGCCCCACGGTAGCCACGGGCCTGATGCGGCCCTCTCCCAGGTGGAATCCTTGCCTCCAAAGGCCGCTTGTGGGGATGATTCTTAACGCTAAAGGACAGCGTGGGGGAGGCACAGTGTCTGACGGCGCCCTGCTCGGGGTGGACGGGAGCACCTGCTGCCACGGAAAGCAAAGCTGTTAGATGGGTGGGTGGGGAAGAGGACCGAAGTGTGCGAGGGGGGAGTGTCTGCCAAGTAACCACAGCAGGTACGGCCAGAGGCTTAAATGCTCCCCAACCCAGTTTCCTGAAGGCCCATTTCAAGCCATAAGTTAAGCAGAGCGGCAGTTCCTAAGAGGAAAGAGAGGTGGGGGATTCTTCAGAGGTGCGGGGGGGGGATTTGTGGTGCCCCCCTGACGCCTTTTCCAGCCATGTTTTCAGAAAGTGGGTGGAACCAATCGGGGCTTTTGCTCAGCAGGGCTACTGACTGGCCACTCAAATTTTGATTGGCTGTGCAGATTTTTTTTAAAAAGGTTTCTTTGGCAACGGCGGCCACCACAGCACAAGGATCTTCACTGTGACTGAAGGGGAGCTGCGGCGGCCATTATGAGGCCGGCTCCACCTCATGCGGCGGCCATTTTGTGGCAGCCGTTTTGTGGCTGCACCCACCCTGCTCTGGAAGGATTCCAAATGTGCCCGCAGGACTAGAGTTGCCAGGTTCCCCTTAGCCACCGGGAGGGGATGGGGGGTGGGGTTGCCAGATCCAGGTCAGGAAACTCCTGGAGATTTGGGGGTGGAGCCCGGGGAGGACAGGGACCTCAGTGGGGCACAGCGCCACAGAGTCCACCCTCCGAAGCATCCATTTTCTCTAGGGGAACTGATCTCTGTCGTCTGGAGATGAGCTATAATTCCAGGGGATCCCCAGGTTCCAGGCTCAGAAAGGTTAGGGTCTAGCAGGGCTCTTTTTGTAGAAAAATCCCAGCAGGAACTCATTAGCATAATAGGCCACACCCAATAGCAGGAACTCATTAGCATATTGGACCACACCCCTGACAGCACAGCTCATTAGCACATTAGGCCGCACCCCCATGTTACCAGAAGTGTGGTCATCCAGCCACACCCACCTTTTGCTTGTTATTCTGTTGACCTTGGTTGTTGTCAAAACCCAGGGCCTTTTTTGGTAGCAGGAACTCATTTGCATGTTAGGCCACACACCCCTGATGTAGCCAATCCTAATGAGTTCCTGCTGTTGGGTGTGGCCTGTTATGCTAATGAGTTCCTGCTGGGCGTGGCCAACTCGGGAGCCAGCCGGAACTCCGTTCCTGTGCGTTCCTGCCCAAAAATAGCCCTGGGTCTAGTCTAACACGATAAAACCCGTACAGCCACTTTGGGCAGCGGCCAGAGGAAAGCAAAGGCCCCTAGCTCAAGGCGAGCCCTCTCCCGCAGCAGAAGGGAGCGGACATTTCAGAGGAAGAAAAACCCAGCAGCAGCAATGCAAGAAGAGATCCCAGTCGGTACCAGCCAGAGGCCTATCGAGACAGACTGGTCACAAGGGGAAACGCAGAGCGGCGAAGTCGCGCGCGGGGGGGGGGCGCTTTCGACCGCGGGGCCGGAGGCAAAAAGGAGACATGAGCCAAGACTGGATCTGGGACTGTGTTGTGGGTGGGGCAGCCATCGTTCTGTCTGGCACTCAGTGAGGTATGCAGAAGTGACTCTCTCGGCAGCAGGGGCGTGAGGAGAGTCGGGTCCAGAAGCGGGACCTGATCGGCAGCAGCGCGTCCCGAGTGCAGTTCAGCCGGAGAACGAGGCTCATGTCAGCAGAGCTGGGGGGAGGGCTCTCGGACAAGAGACGGAGCAAACCTTCAACAACGGGCACAACCAGCCCTTCACCCCCTCCTCCAAGTTCTCTGGGACGCTGCAGGAAGCGGCCTGTCATCCGTGGCGGGCTCCGTTCCCTTTGGGGAGGCAGTTCCCAGGTTGCGGGACATGGCACACAGTTCGAGTTCCCCCCTCGCAGGTCTTCTCCCTTCCATTCAAGTGTCGCTCAGTCTCCACCCAGTTCCAGGACCACCACCACCCCCGTGCTCAGACCCCCAGGGCGGTCAGGGCCCCTGAGCTGGTGATCTTCTTGAATCGGTTAGCAGCGCAAACGCCAATGAAGTTTTTCTGCAGGGTGGATTCAAAAACAAAACAAAACAATGACACAAGAGGCATGGGCGGTCGAAATCGAAAACTGATAAGCAAGGCTGCAGGTGTTCTGCATTTGTTTTTTAAATCAAATGTTCGGCTTGAATGAAAATGGAATTCCAGAAAGTGAATCAGTTCTGCCAATCGGTGTGGATTTTAATTTGTTTTGTGAGAAGGAGAAGGTAAGGAGAAGAAGATTGGATTTATACCCCACTCTTCACTACCTGAAGGAGTCTCATAGCAGCTTACAATCTCCTGTCCCTTCCCCTCCCCACAACAGACACCCTGTGAGGTAGGTGGGGCTGAGAGAGCTCTTTAGAGAACTGCTCCTGAGAGAACAGCTCTGAGAGAACTTGTGACTGACCCAAGGTCACACCAGCAGCTGCATGTGGAGAAGTGGGGAATCAAACCCGGTTCTCCCAGATTAGAGTCCGCGCTCCTAACCACGACACCAAACTGGATCTACACAGATACAACGATGGGGACTGACCTGGAGTCCCCTGAACCTCATTCATCCTGAAACACGGCATCATTTTACAAAGCTAAACTCTGAGAAAGTCATTTGTGGACGCAGGTGGCTACGCACAGCATTGATTGGCTGCTAGTCGTGTCACCCGCAATCCCTTCTCCAGTCACTTCCCCCAGGAAGGGGGATCTCCAAGGCAAAAGCAGGTGCAACAACAGAAAGCTACCTGCAGATCCTGGAGCTTTAGATGACTCGCTTAGGTGAACCAGGCCACACAGGAGGCCCCAGATATCAAATACAGCAACCACCGCCTCTTCCCCCGCCCCATAACGTGCAGACCCCCTCCATTACCTTCCAGCGCCTCCGCATGACGTATTTCCGGAGCAGGACCTGGGATTTTAATCGCCGGTTGACCCGTTTGGCCTTTTCCGCCAGGTTGTTGAGCCAGGGGTGCTGGAGACACTGTGCGGCATTCAAACGCTTGCTATAGGGAGGCGGAGAGAGAAATTACGAGGCAGCCACTGCCGGGGTGGGGCTGTGCCCCCGAATCCCCAGCTGCTGTTCCCTGACACGTACCCCGGCCTTCAGCCCCCCTCCCCCCACTCCCAGCATCTTTTCACTTCACTCTGCCGGACTCCTACTTTGGCCCTTCGTCCTCTAAGCGCAGCTCCCTGCAAATGGACTCAAAGGCCAGGGGTCATTTCCTGCGGGAGTGCACAGGAGCGGAGCTCTGGCAGTAAAGAGCCCGGGGGCGGGCACATGCAACAAGCCCCACCCCCTGGGCTCCCAGCAGCCCTCAGTCAGAGCAAGAAGCAGCCAGGTAAGTTGCAGAGCCCCCCCCCCCGGCCCAAAACAGTCCAGTGGCACCTGAGCGGTGGGTGTTGCCTGCTGACACACTTCCGGTGATGTCAGGGGGTGTGGCATATGCAAATAAGTTATGCTAATGAGTTATGCTAATGAGCTTCTGCACCTCTTTTTCTACGACATGACCCCTGATCACATCCAAATACCCCGGGGCAACGCCGTACTGACTGCAAAGTTACCCCTGAATGGCCGTAAAACGGTTATGAATCTATGCAGAAGGTACAATAAAATCCAGTGATCAAAGGAGTTACCATAAAACCCGCTAATCAAAGGAAGTGACACCAGCATGCAATCCAGAGGGGAATTTCTATTCCAACATGGGTTTCATAAAACAATGGAGGGAAAAGCCAATGCGGAAACAGCCTTTGATGGACCAAGCGTCCAGATTCAGTATAAGGCAGCTCCGTGTGTTCCCGTGTACACTTGATATTTCCTGGGTATATCCCTGGGTGAAGTCACAGGCAGGGGCTAGGCGTCTCATGCTTCCTAAGCACGCAGGGGCCCAGTTTGGATCCAGATCGAAGTGCACAGGGGAAAGGGACTCAGACTTGCCTTCTGTGTGCTGTTCCCCTACCCTGAGGTGTCCCGGGGGAGCCACGGTTTGTTCCACTGAGAGGGGGTACGTGTGAACTGATGTGGCTACTGACTGGCTTCCGGAACCAAAAGATGGAAGAAAAACGCTTCAGCTAACAGAGCACAAAGAAGAGAGGTGCAGGAGCAGGCATGCTTCAGCGCCCCTCGCTCACACACTGGGCGATTCTGCATTGGCTTTTCCCTCTGTTGCTTTACGAAACCCTCGTTGGAACACAAATTCCCCTCTGCGTTGCATGCCGCTTTCACTTTCTTTGATCATCTGATTTTATGGTACCCTCTGCATTGCATGCCGCTTTCGCTTTCTTTAATTATTGGGTTTTATGGTATCTTCTGCATTGCACTTTCTGCATTGCATCTTCTGCATTGCTTTCACTTTCTTTGCTCATCGGATTTTATTGTACCCTCTGCATTGCATGCCGCTTTCGCTTTCTTTGCTCATCGGATTTTATTGTACCCTCTGCATTGCATGCCGCTTTCACTTTCTTTGCTCATCGGATTTTATGGTACCCTCTGCATTGCATGCCGCTTTCACTTTCTTTGATTATTGGGTTTTATGGTATCTTCTGCATTGCATGCTGCTTTCACTTTCTTTGATTATCGGGTTTTATGGTACCCTTTGCATTGCATGCTGCTTTCACTTTCTTTGATCATCGGATTTTATTGTACCCTCTGCATTGCATGTCACTTTCACTTTCGTTGCTCATCGGATTTTATGGTACCCTCTGCATTGCATGCCGCTTTCACTTTCTTTGATCATCGGGTTTTATGGTACCTTCTACTTAGATTTATGGCCTTTCAGGGGTGACATGGAGTCAGTATGGCATTGCCCCGAGGTATTTGAATGTGGCTGTGAGCGGCACCTTTTCCTCCCAAGGCAATTCTGCATCTAGCATTCGCTCCACATTTTCTCAGTTGGGAGGGAAAAGATGTGGCTCAAAACCACATTCGAATACCCTGTGGCAAGGCTGTACTGACTGCATAGTCACCCCTGAACGGCCATAAAGCTATGCAGAAGGCACCATAAAATCTGATGGTCAAAGAAAGTGAAAGCGGCATGCAATGCAGAGGGGAATTTCTGTTCCAGGATGGGTTTGGTAAAACAACAGAGGGAAAACCCAATGCAGAATCGCCCCCAGTTGAGAAAAATGTGGAGCGAATGCTAGATGCAGAATCGCCCACTGTGTCCAGTTGAAACAAGGGAACACCCGCTGCTTCAAACATCATGAAACACGTGAACAAATACACAGGAATCCTCCCTGCACATTGACTTTGACCCCGAGATATTTTCAAGTGTTTTCAAGCACCGTATAATTGCTTAGGATGATGGTGGTTTCATTGTAAGCAGAGCCCTGCTCCAGAGAGCTCTCCCCACCCTCCACGACCCCAGTCAGAACCAAGATCAAACACCCTGAACTTCCTGAGAAAAAACTGGGGAGCTTTTCTTCCCACAGCCTAGAAAAGGAAAGCTGGACGTTTGGGGAGAATAAAGTGTGGGTCCCGTGACGCCTTGAAGACCAACGAAGTTGTATTCAATAAAATAAATCAAATTAAATAATTTTATTCGATAAATAAAATCCCGTGGATAAAACTTTGCTGGTCTTAAAGGTGCCACTGGACTCAGATTTTGTTTGGTTGCTTCAGACCGACGTCTGTCTGGGGAGAATAAAAAGAGAAAAAAAGATGGATTTTGCCAATTAGTTCCTCAGCTGCTCCCCTGGAAGCAACTGTGAGTGCCCCCAGCCCAGCTCAGCAACTGCTGGCTCTATTGATCTAAATGGGGGACAATTAAGCACGTCCTGCCAACGTAGCAGTTCGAAAGCAAGAAATTGCAAGTAGATAAATAGGTACAACTTCGGTGGTAAGGGAACAGCGTTCAGTGTGCCTTGGTGTTTAGTCATGCCGGCCACATGACCACGGAGACGTCTTCGGACAGTGCTGGCTCTTCGGCTTGGAAACGGAGATGAGCACCGCAACCCTAGAGTCGGACTTGACTGGCTTTCGAGCAAGGGAACCTTTACCTTTACCTTTTTAAACTCACCAAAAAAAGAGGGGGGGGAAATCAACAAGAGAAGACAAGGTAGGGTAGCCAACCTCAAGGTGGGGACTGGAGATCTCCTAGGACGACAACTGATCTCCAGGCGACCGAGATCAGTTCACCTGGAGAAAGCGGCTGTTCGGGAAGGCAGACTCTATGGCATTTAAGTCCCTCCCCTCCCCAAACTAGGGCTGCCAGCCTCCAGGTGGGGCCCGAGGATCCCCCGCTTTTTCAACTGATCCCCAGCGCTGACAGAGATCAGCTCCCCCTGGAGAAAATGGCTACTTCGGAGGGTGGACTCTATTGTGGCCTTGGACCCTGCTGAGGCCCCTCCCCTCCCCAAACCCCGCCCTCTCCTGGATCCACCCCCTAAGTCTCCAGGTGTTTTCTGACCCAGACCTGGCAACCCTAAAACAAGGGCTTAACCTCAATTGCATTTGGCAGCTTGACTTGTGCTTCGTGGGCCTTACTTCTGAGTAAGACCATAGAATTTCAGCCCAAGTCTTGATCCTGAGATCCAAATAAATGCTTCTCTTCCCCCAGGTTAAAAAAAGGGCTGGGGACCAACAGGTCTTTTCTGTCCGTCCGTCCCCCCATTTCTACAGATTGCCGTGGTGCAGGGAACTAGGGTCTCTTCCATTGTTCCCTCTAAGCTGAGTGAGTGTGAGCCAGCTCACAGTTTTTGAGCCTCCGGCTCACACATTTTCGTTTTCGCTCAGGAAGGAGGGCTCCAGAGCAAACTAATTTAGGCAGCAGCCAAAACGCTCGCTCACACAACCTTAATGCCAGAAACTCACAAAGTAGAATGTTTGCTCACAAGACTCCACAGCTTAGAGAGAGCATTGGTCTTCCGAAACGTTTTCAACACTTAGTATACACAGAAGGGAAGAAGAAGAGAAAGAAGAAGAGATTGGATTTATACACCGCCCTTCTCTTGGAGTCTCAGAGCGGCTTACAATCTCCTTTCCCTTCCCCTCCCCACAACAGACTCTCTGTGAGGTAGGTAGGGCTGAGAGAGCACTCTCGAGAACTGCTCCTGAGAGAACACAGCTCTGAGAGAACTTGTGACTGACCCGAGGTCATCCAGCAGCTGCATGTGGAGGAGTGGGGAATCAAACCCGGTTCTCCCAGATCAGAGTCCACATCTCTTAACCATGACACTAAATGGACTGTGGAGCTGTAGGTGGGGCTGAGAGATCTCTGAGAGAACTGCTCGTGAGAGAACAGCTCTGAGAGAACTTGTGACTGACCCAAGGTCATCCAGCAGGTGCAAGTGGTGAGTACTTTTCAAAGTCAGTGTTGATTTCTTTTAGGATTGACTAAGTCTTGATCCTGAGATCCAAATAAATGCTACTCTTCCCCCAGGTTAAAAAAAGGGCTGAGGACCAATAGGTCTTTTCTGTCCGTCCATCCCCCCCATTTCTACAGATTGCAGTGGTGCAGGGAACCAGGGTCTCTTCCATTGTTCCCTCTAAGCTGAGTGAGTGTGAGCCAGCCCACCGTTTTTGAGCCTCCAGCTCACTCATTTTCATTTTCGCTCAGGAAGGAGGGCTCCAGAGCAAACTAATTTAGGCAGCAGCCAAAACGCTCGCTCACACAACCTTAATGCCAGAAACTCACAAAGTAGAATGTTTGCTCACAAGACTCCACAGCTTAGAGAGAGCATTGGTCTTCCGAAACGTTTTCAACACTTAGTATACACAGAAGGGAAGAAGAAGAGAAAGAAGAAGAGATTGGATTTATACACCGCCCTTCTCTTGGAGTCTCAGAGCGGCTTACAATCTCCTTTCCCTTCCTCTCCCCACAACAGACTCTCTGTGAGGTAGGTAGGGCTGAGAGAGCACTCTCGAGAACTGCTCCTGAGAGAACACAGCTCTGAGAGAACTTGTGACTGACCCGAGGTCATCCAGCAGCTGCATGTGGAGGAGTGGGGAATCAAACCCGGTTCTCCCAGATCAGAGTCCACATCTCTTAACCACGACACTAAATGGACTGGAGAGATCTCTGAGACAACTGCTCGTGAGAGAACAGCTCTGAGAGAACTTGTGACTGACCCAAGGTCATCCAGCAGGTGCAAGTGGAGGAGTGGGGAATCAAACCCGGTTCTCCCAGACTAGAGTCCGCGCTCTTAACCACTACACCAAACTGGTGAGTTAGGGATGTCAACTCTGGCTTGTGAAATTCTTGGAGATTTGGGGGTGGAGCCTGGAGAAGGCAGAATTTGGGGAGGCTCTTCAGTCCCCCCTCCAAAGCAGCCATTTTCCCCAGGGGAATGGATCTCTGTTGCTTGGGGATCAACCACAATTTCTGGGAGATCTCCAGGCCAGTGTTCCCTCTAAGCTGAGTTAGTGTGAGCTAGCTCACTGTTTGTTAGCCTCCGGCTCACAGATTTTTGTCTCAGCTCAGGAAGGATGGCTCCTGAGCAAACTCATTTCTGCAGTAGCTGAATCGCTCGCTCACAACTTTAATGCCCATAGCTCACAACGTAGAATTTTTGCTCACAAGGCTCCACAGCTTAGAGGGAGCATGGCTCCAGGCACCGCCTGGAGGTTGACAACCCTGCCCTCTCCGGGGGCTACTACTTACGAGACCCTGCGCTCCTGCCCCTTGACTAGGCCCCCACCTTTTCTCCTTGATGATCAAATGGGAGACGAAGTCCTTGGCTTCCTCGGAGATGCCCTCAAAGGCTTCCTCGTCAAAATACCAGTTGGACGCCAGAACGTTGTTCAGGGTTTCCGTGTCGTTGTCTCCCAAGAAAGGGGAGAGCCCGCTCAGCCTGGAAGGAGGGGGCGTCAAGAAGGCAGATGGGAAGAGGAGGGGGAAATGAAGGGGAGCCCGTTAGTAACAGAACAGATTTCTGGAGACACACAGCCCCATTCCCGTGGCAAAACAGTCTCTCTTCAGGACCAGGACTCTGGCTACATAAAACCCTGTGGGCGAGCCTTGCTGCATCAAGCCAGAAGCCCATCTAAGCAGGCCCACAGCCATGGGGGGCATTTGGAGTCAGTGCCCCCCACAGATTAGCGCTGCCCCCTCAGAGAAAGATCCATGAGAAATTTTTAAAAATCCATTTTTAAATGTTTAGATTTTATTTATTTTTTAAAATTTATATCCCGCCCTTCCCAAACAGGCTCAGGGCAGGTAACATCAAATGTAACATCCAAATGTACGATGCGTGTGGATGCTCCAAAATGACCCCAGGCACAGCGAGGGAAGTGTCAGTCTAATCCCCCCCCCTTTTTTCCCAGGCTGAAAAACAAGCAGGTTCTTAAAGCTGCAATAAAAGAAAATAAAAAAGAAAAATTGCAACGAATAAAAGAAACTTGCAAAATGCAAAAGAGGGAGAGTCAGAAAGCCCCTGGCTTACACAGAAATGCAGCCCGGAATCGAGTCTCTCCAATCGAGAGGACTAGGGGAGGACTAGGGGTCGCAGTGGAGCTGCAGCGCCTTCTGCTGCTGCTGCAAGAGGAGCCGCAGGCATGGCTGTGGTGACCCCCTCCCCCAGATTTCCCCCTGCCCCACCAATCAACATTTTCTGGCTACGCCCCTGCATCTAAGACTGCAGAATCCACACTCAGCAGCCTGTGAATCTCACTGGGGGACCTGGGGCCAGCCACTCTCTCCTACCTCGCAGGGCTGGGGATAAAATGGACCAGGGGAGAGCCATGTAGACGGGCCAAAGGTCACCCAACGAGCTTCCATGGCAGTCTAACACCCTAACTCAGTCTAACACCCTAACTCAGGGGTCCCCAACTCTTTTGAGCCTGTGGGCACCTCGGGAATCCTGACACGGCATGGTGTGGGCAGCAACAAAATGGCTGCCATAAAATGGCATCCTGTCTCACGCAGTGAAGGTCTTTGCGCTGTGGTGTCAGCTGTGGGGGTAGCACCAGGGCTCGTTTCCTGCAGGAGCGCACAGGAGCGGAGCTCCGGCAGTAAGGAGCCCAGGGGGCGGGCACATGCAACAAGCCCCGCCCCCTGCTCCCAGCAGCCCTCAGTCAGAGCAAGAAGCAGCCAGGTAAGCTGCAGAGCTCCCCCCCAGACCCCCAGTCCAAAACAGTCCAGTGGCACCTTTAAGACCAAGTTTTATTCAGGTACAAGCTCTCCCTCCTCTGTGAGATCTGCACGTCCCCTTCCCCCCCAATAGCTAGCAATCCAAAACAGTCCAGTGGCACCTTTAAGACCAAGTCTTATTCAGGTACAAGCTCTCCCTCCTCTGCCAGGACAGATCTACATGTTCCCCCCCCCCCCCGATAGCTAGCAATCCAAAACAGTCCAGTGGCACCTTTAAGACCAAGTTTTGTTCCGGTACAAGCTCTCCCTCCTCTGCGAGGGCAGATCTGCATGTCCCCCCCCCCCCAATGGCTACAAACCAAAAAAGGGTCCACGGGCCCCGGGACCACTGGAGCCTGAGCGGTGGGTGTTGCCTTCTGACACACTTCCGGTGATGTCAGGGGGTGTGGCATATGCAAATGAGTTATGCTAATGAGCTCCTGCACCTCTTTTTCTACACAATGACCCCTGGGAAGCACAACCAATTTACTCTCCAAATGCCAATCAGAAGCCCTGCTGGGCAAAAGCCCACATAGAATCATAGAGTTGGAAGGGACCTCCAAGGTCATCTAGTCCACACCTCCGTTCCCAGAAGATGGCAAAAAAGGGGTGGGGGGGAGAAAAGAAAAAGAAAAAAACACCTCCAGGATCCCCGGGCAAACTGGCCTGGGGAAAAATTGCTTCCTGACCTGAAAGTGGCAATCAGCATTTCCCTGGGTGTGTAAGAAAGGGCCGCGAGAACTAAGCACTGACAGAATCACGGAATCATAGAGTTGAAGGGACTTCCAGGGTCATCTAGTCCAACCCCCTGAACAATGCAGGAAATTCACAAATACCTCCCCCACACACACCCCAGTGACCCCTGCTCCATACTCAGAAGATGGCAAAAAAACCCTCCAGGATCCCTGGCCAAACTGGCCTGGAGAAAAATTGCTGCCTGACCCCAAAATGGCAATCAGCATTTCTCTGGGCGTGTAAGGAAGGCCCGCGAGAACTGAGCACTGAGGCAACCCTTTGTGCCCTCCCTACTCATGATTTGCCCGAGTTCACAGAATTCACATTGCTGTCAGATGGCCATCTAGTCTCTGCTTAGGTAAAGGTTTCCCTTGCTTGAAAGCCAGTCGAATTCGACTCTAGGGTTGCGGTGCTCATCTCCGTTTCAAAGCCGAAGAGCCAGCGCTGTCCG